AGTTAAGTCTTCCTGACTCCAGGCCTGGCACTTTGTCACCTGTATGCCCTTTGCCGTGGTAGAAGCCTTCAACTTAGAAAAAAAAAATGGGCAGAAACCTTGTAGTAAAATCCCCTAAAATTTTTGTTTTAATAGCTATTGTCAAACAACATAAGGTTAGCTTAAAAACACAATGACCACCTTGAGGTCATTAGAGTACAATTTGAGAAACTGATTATATCATATTAGGCTACATTTTGAAATTTTTCATGGCCACCTTGTGTGATTATTAAAATCAAGGTTATTTTATTTTTGAAAGCACATGAATTGAGTTCTATGGAATTTAGGAATAGAACAAAGTAAAACTTTGTATTTGCAAGACACTTTTGCCCATTAGCATTATCTATTATATAATCTATATCTATCATCTCTATACCTTGATAGGTCTGTGATCTAGTCTATGTGAGTACTTCCACCAATGGTTCAGAATTCAGTCACTTTGCCCTCTCATCCTGTGCAACCCTTGTCCATATCCTCCTGTAAATTTTTTACATAGGGTCCACCCCGCTACTGGGACCTTGCTTTATATCTCTTGACATTGCATAGTAACTAGTGAAGCATGCAGGCTGCTGTCCATTGCTTATCCTTCAGTATCGTTTGATGATGCCATCATTTGATGATCTGTCCATCTTCTTTTCTGTCTTATGTCACTTGGATGATACCATTTATACCTCCTTTTCTCCATAGTTCCTCATTGGTAACTGCATCTTTCTTTTCACTTTGACTAATGCAAAATTTCAATTTTTCAGAGACTGATGTCTCAAATAGCAGCTATATCGTCACCAAAAGAATATTGATGTTAAATAAATGTTGCTATTAAAAAGATAAAGATTTGTTTAAAGATAAGGTTGTTCTGGGATCCTTTGGTTATTAACATCAAGCATGGAGACAAGTCAAGCAAGCATTTATTAAATGTCTGCTATGTGCCAGGCACTTTGGTGAGCACTAGGAATATAAATAGAAAAATGAAACAATCTCTCCCCTCTAGGGGAAGCAGCATGAGTGGAAAGGGAACTGGATTCTGGGTAAGAAAAGTGTGAGTTTGAATCTAATCCCAGACATTTCTCTAGTTTGGTGAACCTGGACAAATCACTTTAATCCCTCTGTGCATTAGTTTTCTCAACTATATAATGAGTGAGTTAGACTTGATATTATCCATATATCCTCTCCAACTCTAAATCTATGATCCCATGTAAGCAAATATAAAGTAATTTCAGCAAAGAGGCATTAGCATTTGGGAGAGAGGAAGAGGCTCCTGGAAGGCCCCCTGAAGAGGAAGGCAGCACAGAACTGAGCTTTGAAAGAAATTAAAGGCTGTGAGAGGCAGAGGTAAAAAGAATGGGCATTAGGGCCAGGGGGAGGGTCAGGCGGGGCAAAGGCACAGAGATGGGATATGGAATGAAAAACTGAAAGTAGGCAAGTTTGGCTAAAATATAAAATACAGGAAGGGGAGTCATGTGCAATAAACCTGGGAAAGTACTCCGGAGTCAGACTGTGAAGTACTTTAAATGGCAAACAAGGAAGTTTGTGTTTTATCCTAAAGGCAATAAAGAGGCACTGGAGCTTTTTGAGCAGGGAAATGTCATGGTCAAATTTATGTTTTAGATATAACACTTTTGTAGCAATGAGAAACATGAATGGGGAGACACTAGAGGGAAGGAGAACAATTATGAGGCTATTGCAGTAGTCCAGGCAAAAGATAATAAAGGCCTGATCTAGGGTGGTGGCTACATGAGTAGAGAGAAGAAAAGGCATGAAAAAAATGTTTTAGAGATAATACCTATAAGTCTTAGAAACTAAGTAAATATATGGGAGTGAGGAATAATGATGAGTAGAAGTTAATTTTGAGATTGGAAACCTGGATTACTGGAAGAATACTGGTATCATTGACATAAACATGGAATTTATGAGGAGAGATGGTCACGAGTGGGAAAAGATAATGAGTTGTTTTGGGTACATTGAATACTTTGGAAATGTCCAATAGGAAGATGGTGATGCTAAACTGGAGCTCAGGAGAAAGCCTCATCAAAGGTGTTTACCACAATGAAGAATGCCCAGTTCAGAGGGCAAATAAATGGTTGATGTATTCCTTTTAGATGGTGAGTTTCCCTAGATGCTTATGTTTTAAGAAGACAGTGTGCTAGCTGTATCAAGTCTGGAGCAATGCAAAGCTTCCATAATCATTTCAAAAGTGTCCATGCAGGGAGAAAAAACCAAGTGGATGAAGAATGTCTATTTCCTAGACTAGTATATGGTTATATAGAACCATAAGACTAGTCTATCCGTGTGTGTGTGTGTGTGTGTGTGTGTGTGTGTGTGTGTATCTTGTTTAAACAGTAATGATGAACAGGGAATTGGACCCAATATTGAACAAGAGGAAAAGCAGGATGGATTACATTTAAGAAAATGCATAGTGCTTTTAATCTAATACATGCAAAAATAAATTATACCCAGCAAATACTTATACCACTTTAAAATTAAATTAGTTAAATTAATGAATATATATATATATGTATGTGTGTATATATATATATATATATATATGTGTGTGTATATATATATATATATATATATATATATATATATATATATATATATATATATATATATTCCCCTATCAGGAATTGCATAGTTTCATATCAATGAGATTGCTTATAGAGCAACCCCAAATTTTGCAAAGAAGAGAACATTTATCAGTCATCTTAAAAGTAATGCAGTTTGCTGGGTTGTGTGTGTGTGTGTGTGTGTGTGTGTGTGTGTGTGTGTGTGTGTGTTTATATAGTTCTAAGGAAAGAACTCCAGGGGCCTCTCATTCTGGGAATTTTCCTGGCTGTTTAACATGACTTATTAATTATGTTAAATTGAAATTGAATAATTTTAATTAGCTTGAAAAGCATATACATGGAGTTCAGTGGAATTTAGGAATGGAACAAAATAAAATTATATGCCAAGACCACTGACCTCATATATATAATTTCAGACAGCAGGCCTTCCAAAATATGTGAAAAAATCATTCATATATTCTAACCACAATGCAAAATTTTGCCATCAACAAATATTCGTTGAATTGGCAAACAGTTTTTCCATGAAAAAATATCAAGACCCATTTAGTGCCAACAACTATTCATTAAGTGCCTACTATGTAAGTCACTGGGCTAGGTGCTGTTCCAAGGGTTCCTACTTCATTGAGTTTACATCCTCTTACAGGAAACAGCAGGTAAACATACAAATACATATAAAATAAAGGTAAGAGAATTTGGAAGGACAGGTAATTGGTATTTGAAGGGTGGATATCAGAATCCTCCTACACATTATGTAGGAAGTAATATTTTAATTATGTTTTGAAGCAAGCTAAAGATTCTCCATCACAGGTTAAGAAGCGGGGCAGCTAGGTGGCACAGTGGAGGGAGCACTGGCCCTGTAACCAGGAAGACCTGAGTTCAAATTCGACCTCAGATATTTGCCACTTGCTAGCTGTGTTACCCTGGGCAAGTCACTTAACCCCAGTGCCTGGCCCCCCCCAAAAAAAAAAGAAGAAGAAGAAGAAGCAAGGAAGGAATACATTCCAGACGTGCTAAGAAATTGAAGATAAATGTTTGTTAGGAGGAACCTACAAAAGAAGAGTAATTTGGTTGGAGCACATAGTGCACAATAGAGAGTACCATATAATAAGGCTGGAAAGGTAAGTTTATGACAAAGGAGTTTTAGAGGTAATATGAGGTAATAGGGTGTTAGAGGTAATAAGGAACAGCTATATGATTTATTTTTATGATTGAAACAGCTTTAAAATTAATGTTAGCAATTAGCATTTTTCATTGCCAGTCGTCTATCATTTACATACAGTATTTGTGTTCACCAAAACAATTTAATGACATACAGTATCGCATTGTTTCTGTCTTCCTGTTTTCCAGTGTCCATAAACAATAAGAGAATAAAGGCAAATCAGGGTTTTTCACGATCAAAAACAATCCATACTTCACTTTCATTAATATTTTAGCTTCTACGTCTTCCAGACCTTATATTCTCCTTTTCCCCAGAATCAAGGAACATTTTAATAACTGATATCTCTGTAAATTCAGTCTACTGTAGAGGTCAAAGTGTTCCCAGGAATCTGTCACCTTCTGATACGTGTGAAGGGTAAAAAATATATATATTTTTTTAACCTTTTGTCTTAGCTTTCTCCAAGAAATAAAAGGCAGAATCTTCTACCCCGGGAATTGGTAAAAGCAAATTCTGGACCCGAAAATAATGTTTGCCCTCTTTAGTCTACATAAGTAGCAGCCCCACCCCCATCCAAGAAACCCAAGATTTTGCTATTTAACTTCCTGAACCAAATTTTACACCCGGATCCCCATATCCTACTAGACACCCCCCCAAAAAAAACCTGTGGTTTTCCCCTTTTATCCCAAAATAACTTCGTGTAATGACTACAGAATCAAATCGTTGCCCCAGTCGCCAATTCCCACTATTCCATTTACAGAAATCGTGGGAGAGCCTGTGTTACTTCCCCCGCGGAGAAACGGAATTTTTGTGTAAATGATGATAAAAATAACTTGGTTTTTGTGCAGATGAGAAGCCAAGCATATGATGAACAATCCCAGGGAGGAAGAACTTTCAGGAGTAAAGGGACGAATTTGTATTTTAGAGAAAAAACAAGAAGTTGACTCGATTTCACCTGAATTTTGCTCAGAGTTACGTGTGTTTGGAAAGGCTGCTGGTGTAGAATTTGAGGCTACAGAGAAAAAAGAAGAAGGACATGAAGCCTGAGACGTCTCCACTTATTTTCCGATTGAAACCGCGTGATTCCATACAGGGAATTTTTATAATTTTCCCCTTTTTTGAAGTGTAACAAACACAACTCCTCTTCAGAGCTGAGACACTGTCCCTGCCAGGGAGGCGAGCTGGGCAGCGCACCAATCACAAAGCAGCTCCTCTCTATATATACCCCCGGCCCTGCGAGCACTGCTATATTGACACTGTGGGTTCTACAGCATTTTTTACTGTAATTATCTAGGTTTGCTACTATGTCTGAGACTGCTCCTGCCGCGCCGGCTACTCCAGCTCCAGCAGAGAAGACACCTGTGAAGAAAAAGGCTAAGAAGCCAACCGGTTCCGCAGGAGCGCGGAGAAAGGCGTCTGGGCCCCCGGTGTCTGAGCTGATCACCAAGGCCGTGGCCGCCTCCAATGAGCGCAGCGGCGTGTCTCTGGCCGCCCTCAAGAAGGCGCTGGCGGCCGCCGGCTACGATGTGGAAAAGAACAACAGCCGCATCAAGCTGGGGCTCAAAAGCCTGGTGAACAAAGGCACTCTGGTGCAGACCAAGGGGACCGGGGCCTCGGGCTCCTTCAAGCTCAACAAGAAAACTCCTGCGGGCGAAGGCAAAGGGAAGGCCAAGAAATCGGCCTCCGCCAAAGCAAAGAAGTCAGCAGGAGCTGCCAAGAAGCCTAAAAAGACCACGGGGGCGGCTACGAAGAAAACCTTGAAAAAGACACCGAAGAAGGCTAAGAAGCCAGCAGTGGCGGCGGGAGCTAAGAAGGCAGCCAAGAGCCCGAAAAAAGCCAAAGCTGCTAAACCCAAGAAGGCGGCTAAAAGCCCTGCAAAGGCTAAAGCCGTGAAGCCCAAGGCAGCAAAGGCAAAGGTGACCAAACCTAAAACAGCTAAGCCCAAGAAGGCGGCGCCAAAGAAGAAGTAGGTCTCCGCGGGAACTTCCAACACCTCAAAGGCTCTTTTCAGAGCCACCCATAGATCTCAATGAAAAGAGCTCAATGCGTATGTTTTCGGGGCCCTGCAGTGTTAAGTAATTGCACGGGGGTGGGGGGGTTTAACTTTGCCAGATCGGGATGGTATGGGTTGTTCCGCGCCCCCCTCCCGCCCGCATGCTTCAGTTGTTTCTGTGCCCCCTTTATTCTAGGTAAATGGCCTGAGTACTTGCATGGTCTTGTGGAACAGCAGCTCAGTTGCTGCTTTCCTATTTTTTTTTTTTCGGTAGTACCGGATATCCTGCAGCGCCACAGTGCCTGACCAGTTGTAAAGCCCACGGGTCGCCGGGAGCTTTGCCAGACTGACAGACCCGATGGTCTGCTGAGCCAGGACCCCTTTGTTTTTATAAGTGGCCTATAAACAAATAAACAACATAATTTGAAAAATATTTTGTCTCTTTAAATGACGGGTCTTAAAGTTTGCAGAGATGAATGGGTTAATGCTCATTGGTTAGAGAGCACCGGTTTTCAAGTGTGTTCAGAGAGACCCCTGGGAGTCCCCGACATCCATTTCAAGGGCATGTGAGGTTAAAGACTGTTAACAGTAATATTTTTTTCGTTTTTAATACAGTGTCAGTAGATGTGACACTTTTTTAAAAAGGCTATCTGGGGCCTCTTAAGTGTTGTAAAGGGCCAAAAAGTTTGAGAACCGCTGGGCTAGAGAAACATTCAAAAGTCCCGCGCCTCAAGTAAATTGGTTTGTTATTCAACCTCACACAGCCTTGAATTCTGGGCAATTTGATTGGAAAAAATGAATCCCTACACACTCCCACTTGCTCTTAATGGTTATACATGTAGTTTCTTTTTCTCCTTGTTCTTCAGCATTCATATGCTGTGTATGTACTGCACACAAATAACAATTATTGTTTTAGTTTCGGGAAATAACTTTCAGCACCCAGAGTCCAAGGACAGTTTTTTTACTTTTTAAAAAAGTTCAAGCAGCAAAATGCTTTGTTCCTGAGTTTTCTGCCAAATGTTTTCACTGATACAGAATTTCTTTTCCAAGCAACACAATGAACACAAATCCGTGCTGGCACACACGCAATAAGCCTTCTAAGTCACCATATGGTTTACTTGCTTTTCCATTTAAAGTTTTATGTCTCTTAGTTTATTTTGTTGAGGTAAATCAGAACGAAATAACTTAAAAGCCATACATATATACATACATATATATCCCTCGAAATTTATATATAACCATCCTTACGAATGCAAATAACCTGAGACATTTTCTGCTACTTATCGTTGAACCACCGTTCTTCCCCACCCCCATCCCTGACTCCCGCCCAAAGTTGGCCTTTCTGGAAGATTCTTTTTGAAGTAGGATACTAGAGAATCCAGCATCTAGATATTTATGATGGCTGAAAATATTTGTTTGATTTGACATTTTGGTCATGGAGAAGAGGGGGCCGGAGGAAAGCTTTTTTCGTTTTGTTTTCCTAAAAGTGGCTGACTGCGAAAGCTTCTGGTTCCAGGGGCTTGTGTTTCCCTGGCCCCGAACTAAGTTTGTCCCTCACGAGCTTCCCTAACCTTAGGCATTGTATCTATTTGCTCTTTTGGTGCAGCAATATGTCCATGTTTTAAAACAAGACGCGGACCTGGTTTCTTTGCAAAGCTCCTGATTTAACTCATCTTTGTGGCTCATATTTACATGTGCAACTTATCTTGTGTGGTCCTATCCTTACACCTTCCCCCTTCCCATTTCCATTTTGCAGATGAGAACATTAGAGTTCAAAGAGCTCGGGAAAAATTACTTGGGCAGGGTTATATAGCACTTGTGGCTGAGGCAAAAACTTTTGCCTCGTGCTTAATCCTGCATTTTATCCACTGCGCAACGCTATTATGTTGCCTCTGGCGAGTAGTGGTAGGTCAGAGGTGATACGAGTCTCTCGGCTTTGTTCCTGGCCAGTTCCAAGACCAAGTCTTTAGGTTCGACTGTGGGAAGCACGCTGGGCACAGTGCTAAACCGAACTGGAATATATCCCCAGACGGGCCCCGAGAGGGGAGGTACACTAGCATCCAAACCAATGCAATTCGTCCAAAGAAGGCAGCAAAACGGGTATACTAGTGTTAAATAACTAACTTGTCAAACTGTTTAGCTATTGGTCAAAAACAGAATTCTGATTGTTTTAGCCAATCACAAGGTGGATCTAAAAATCTCACTATTTAAATATGATCTTCCCACTTCAGTCAAGTTGCTAAAATTGGGGGCTGAGGTAGATTTTCTATATTTGTGTAGAAGCCCTACAAAAATAAAGCTGACCTAAAATTTGTGTTCTTTATTTTGCTTTTTTGAAAATTATTGATTGTACTATTCCAACTCACCCTGAACTCGTCCGAACCCAGCATTCAAAAGAAGATAGTAATTTAGGTGCAGAGCAATGGTAAGTGCAAGCACACTCCTAAGAGTAGCTGAAGAAGGTACAGCTGGTATCGCCTGGAACATTATAATTCATTGTTAATAAAAATTTTCTGTTATATCGTAGGGAGTGAACGTCGCAATACTTCTCGAGAATCCAAATGGCCCTATGGCTATTGCTGTCTTGGAGGGAAACAAGTATGCCAATTCTCCAGAAAGGACCCCAGGGGCCCTACAATCTAAAGGCTTTGATTTTTTTTTTCAAAATACATTCCCATTCTCAGCTGCTTTAATTACATTGTACAGTTAGTATCAAAATAGTTCCTTTTCAGTTATTTTGTGTCAAACTTAGCATAGTCATTGATTCTAACAAAAGCAATTTATGATAATTCATAATTTCTCCCATCTAAGACCCTTCTGGGTCATAAAAGCAAATACAGTCACTGCATAAGAAGAATTGTTCTATGGTATAAGGTACTCACAGGCAAGAGTTTGTATTTAAAGCCTAATCTTCCCCTTTGTTTTTCCTTCTCCTAAAACACATGAAATGTATCCCAAGGAATGCTCCTGTCAGCGGAAGTATCCAGCAGCAGTATGAACACTGCACTTAGAGCCAGAGTGCTGAGATTTCAAAACATGTCTCTGCCATTGACTCCCTGTGTTACCTCCTGGGCCTTAGTTTCCTCCCTTTCATCTGTAAGTCTAGGATCCTAAATTCAGCTTTTGAGAATCATCCTTGGTTGCAGAATGTTTGATTAGTGCTTCCTTTGCCCGTTTTTATTTGTTTGCATCATCTGATATCTGAAGGAAAAGAGGAAAGCCATGGGGAAAATGAATAAGTGCATTTTAAGGTTTGACCCTCTGACTTGATTTTCTTCTCCAGCATTTTCACTGTACTTTTGGATTTTGTCTCTCCATTCCGATCTACAGTAATTAGATTTTATCTTATGCAGTTTTGAGACACTCTGTCTTTTAACAAATTAAAAACACCAGCTCATATTCATGCTGTTGCTTTGAGAAGTCTGGGGAGAGAGAGATGTAGAGGTTTCAGCATCCAGGAGAGAAAGTCCTCAATACTCCCAGCAAATACTAATCTGCTTTCTTATTTCTATGCTCATAATGCTGCTCCTATCTCTTGTGGTGTCCCCTCAATACATCAAAGACTTGTAGAATCATAGAATGTTAGATCTAGAACATCTTTTTCTAATCCCTGCATTTCTCTGATCAGGAATATTAGTTGATTTACCAACAGTCATGCAACCAGTTGGATGACACACCTACTCTGCCACTGACTCCTGGTAATCTTTCATGTGACACATGAAAATCCTGTATTTGACTTATATTCTCATAAAGGTAAATTGTGAAGGGAAAGGAAGAATGAATGAAAGAATAAAAAAAGCATTTATTAAGCACTTACTAGTGCAAAGAACTGTACTAAATACTGGGCCTTCAAAGGGAAAAGTAAAACAGTTCCTGCTTTCAGGAAACACATTCTAATGAAGAAAACTACATGTTTATATGTATTATGTATGCATATATGTATGCACATGTATATGTAGTTTCAGCTAAAAGTAAAACAGAATGGTCTGATGATCTTGAGGGTATATCAGCAAAGCAGAACATAATTCCTCTACTTTAACATCATTTTCCCCTGATAAATTGTCATTTTTCTGATATCGAGTTCTTCAATAGTGATAAGAATTATGGCCATAAAAACTTTCTTTTCTGGGTCTTTGGTAACTGTATCTATAGTGGGTTCAGGGTTCTGCCACCTTTAGAATCAACAGGTAAACAAATGTTCTTGCTGCTACTACCATTGCCAGCACTAAGAGGAGAGAGAAATCACCTCTATCTATTTGAAGTCTAAGGAAGGGGAAGTACCAGTAAAGTCTCAAAAGATATAGTAAACTATTTTTCCTCTATTGCTTCTTCTTGTATGTTGTTGTTGTTCAATCATTTTCAGTCATGTCTGACTCTTCATGACCTCCATTTGGGGTTTTCTTGGCAAAGATACTGGTGTGGTTTGCCATTTCCTTCTCCAAGCCATTTTACAGATGAGCATACTGAGGCAAACAGGGTGAAGTGACCTCCCTAGGATCACACAGCTAGTATGTGTCAAAGGTCAGTTTTGAACTCAGATCTTTCTAATTCCAAGCCCGTCATGTACCACCTAGATCTTGACTCTATGGCAAATAATCTTCAACCTGACCTCTATTACTGGTGACCAAACAGGAGTTTCTGCATTATTGCAATAAGTCTTATATCCTTCAACAGGAGGCCAAGCCACATATTCAGAAAAGGGACCAGAGTATTGGCCCATTTACATGTCTGAACCATTTTGAGTCCCCCATCACTTGAGAAAGGCCTAAAACCTGGATTGGCCAATTAGGAAAAAGATATTTTTGGCCCACTCTGAGCTTAACCTACCATAACGTCTTGCGTGCTCTGGCATAATAGACACGTTTTGCTTTGCTCTCTAAGTAAACCAAAAATTCCCCTTCCTGTGTCAGCAACTACATGGCTGGATGAAGCTGATCAGGAGCGTTCTCCATTTATGACTGTCCAGGGCAAGACATGTTGAATCAGACACTATCTTGAGTATTGGGACTTTTCTTATCTTGGTATTTTATGGATACATGCTATGCTATATTATGATATAGATATATAGACACACACACACACACACACACACATACACATATATATATGTATATGTATATATATATATATATATATATATATATAGTCATGTTAATGATAAAAGAAAAAATACAGACATCCTGGATGTATAACTTCAATTGACACTTTGACACTTATCTTATTGTATTTACAATCTATCCTATTAAGAAATTCCTTTCTCATATTATGGTTAACACATATGGAGACTTATAATTTTGGTTGACAGAAGCATCCTGAGCTGGGATTGCTCTAAGTGTATAAAGGGTCTCCTTCAGCTTGTTTACCATTGAGTTCAGAATTGTTTTCTGAGTCCATTCATGCATGATTTTCTGGCTTAATGAGAATAAATAAGCATTTTATAGCACAGGTACAGCCTGATGCTGTTTGTTTCTTGGTCAAAGAATCCCATTCTATTTGTTCTTGAACAAACCTTTGGTAAGGGGGAAACCCCATTCTGTTTGTTCTTAGGATAAACCTTCAGTTAAGAGAGAAATTGATTCTGTTTGTTTCTTTGGACCAAATCTTTGGTAAATGGTTGATACATGGAAGGCATATTCAGCATATCAGGGACTTTTCCTTATTGCCTTCTCCCTACACAAACCAATCACTTCAGAAGATTCATCACATTCTGTTAGAATATGAAAGGTAAGGTCTCCAGGTGTCTGCTAAACCAGATAGACAACCTCCTTGTCCTACAATGGGGCAGTCACATATTACTTACAAGGGAGAGCCAGCACAGTTGGACTCCAACCTGTATTAAAAAAATCAATAGTCTAGTGTCCCCTACAAAAATCTAGACTGATTTCCAACTATGTATCACAGGCCACAGCCGCAACTTTTATCTTAATTGCAACAAAAATTTTAAGTGAAAAAAAATAGATGTGACACACATCATGTTCTCAAAGAATTTCCAATCTAATGAAGTGAAAAGGCATGTAGGTATAGTGCTACAGAAAGACAGGAAAGATGATACACTGTTAGTAGAGTTGTGAAATAGTACAAACATTTTGGATAATAATTGGAAACTTTAAGAAAAAAAGTGACTAAACTATTGACATTCTTTGACCCATAGATCCCACTGGGTTTATATCTCAAGAAAGTTAAAGATAGAAAGAAAGATTCCATGTACCTGTGTGTGATAGCAAAAACCTGGAAACAAAGTGGGTACCCATTGATTTCAGAATAACTTAGCAAATATGGTATATAATGAAATGTTGTTCTCCCAAAAGAAAGGACAAGTATAAGGAATTCACAGATACATTAAGACTTTTATGACACGAAGAGTGATGTAAGCAGAATGTGGAAAATAACATACCCAATGACAAAATAGTGTAAGCAAAAAGACCAATAAAACCAGTGCTGTGTTATTATTATGAAGTAGAAAACTCTCTGGTGAAGGGGTATATTCAGAAATAATTATGATATAAAAACTAAAGATAGCAATAATCTCTCTTTATAAAGAATGTGTAGAAATAGCCATGATACAAGAAAGTATGTGAAAATTACAAAAGAGAAAGTGCTAAGAGTCAAATAAATAAAACCAGGGATCTGTAGATTTATAGATGAACATAATTTGGAATGCTCCACTCCATCTCTCTATTATATTTCTGCCTTCCTATAGTGTAGGACAACAGCCACAACTGAGTCATTTGCTCTCCCAACTTCAAGAGGAGAATTTTGCTAGAATTATATCTCTCTTTTACAATAAGATATTTGGAGTTTAGGGATACAATGCTCTTTTGGAATTCAGATTAAAAGCCACTTTCTCTGGGTTACTTCAGATTATTTACACTAAATGTGAATGTGTCTTGTGAAGAAGAAAGAGGAGAGGCATCAAGAATACCTCACAAAATAATTATTATTTGAGATCATCTTTAAAGGAAAGGTAGGAATTCAGTAAGTACTTCTTATGTCTAGAAATTTACTTTATAATATCATTTTGAAAATCTTGCTTCCTTTCTTCTAGTAATTCTAGTGGACCTTTTGGCTAAGCTGAGTTTTTGTTTGATGATGTAGATGTTGTAGTGTTATTCTCTTCTTCTAGGTTCGTGTCTTGGGCATCCTTGAATGGACAATATTTCTTTACCATCTGTCTTCTTTTGCTTATTCATTTTTCCAACCTTGAGATTTTGTGTCAAGTCTAGGCTCTGTCTATTTCTGGAAGGAATTTTGTTGCCTTTTACTGATCTGTATTATTTTAAATCTTGCAACTGTTTCTTTTGTTTGTTTTGTTGTTTGG